TTCAATATAAGAGTATGGTACATGCAGTTAAAATATATTTCGTTTTATTCGTCGTCATTTTGCAGTAATATCTTGACTCTTGGTGGTTCAATTAAGCTGAATTTTAGATAGAAAATTTCTGTAAGCTTGTCGTTATCGTGTGAATCACTATAATAGAAATTGAGAGAAAGTTAATAAAATTGCAAATATCTTAGTGAAATATTATTAAATTTTTAGTTCTTTTATAGTAAAAAAATTAATATTTCAAAATTAAATATTTTCACGAGTTTGTCAGTGGTTCATACGATGACGACAAGTTACTATATGATATACTATATGATATGCTATATGATACTATATGATATTATATGATACACGATACTATATGTTGTATAAATACATGTCAAAATAACACTTTCGCATATTCATTTAGCTTATCATAAAAAATTGTGAAAGAACGAGCATTTTCAGGCAATCTGACCTTCCAGTCCCTTTAAATCATTGCTTCTCCTGCAGATTTGAGAACAAGAAATTCGCTACAGCCGTGAGCGACGTGGTACGCTGTATCGAGGAGAGAATACAGCAATGGAGCGAATATGAAAATTCGTTGGAACGTTTGCTCGCTTGGCTCACCGACGCCGAGACATCGTTGAAAAACTATTCCCTGAAGAACACGCTCGAGGAAAAGCAGGAGCAGCTTGAGAAATATCAAGTGAGTTCAAAACAATTGTTACGTTGCCGCTGTAGATTTTTCTACAGAGTTTCTCTAGCTTTACGTGTAAATTTCTGTTACGTGCCCCACATTTAACGAAAGTGACTAGCACAGAGAGCGTTTGAGTTCACCCCTTATCACAGAGTTTCCCTCTTCGATACGAGATAGTGGCATAGTTTAGAGTGTGCACATTTGAGGAGTTTTCGTTTAGGCGTAGCTCTGTTTACTGACATTTGTCACGCAGCACGTGAATATAGATATTACAGTGTTAATGCTGTCTTATAGTTATCCGTCGTCCCGCGCGATAGATCATGCGAGTGCTTTTGAGTACTCGACGAATAAAGAGAAGGAAACGTCCCGTCATCACGCAAACTTTTGTCCTCGCTTCTAGTGCGTAATCATTCCTTCACGCGCAATGAATGTACATGATAACATTTCCCAGGACCTGCAAAAGGTTGCGGAAACGCGGAACACGGATGTGACGGAACTGGTTGCGCTCGGTGACCACCTCGAACAAGTAAGAAAGTGATATGTGCGAACTGCGAATATTATCTTATTATTATTATAAAAAAGGCGCGATTGTAAAAAAGAGAAAGAGGCGGATAATTGCAACAGCTTTATGAGGAATCTCTTCGACACGATTGCCCTTTCTCCCGTCTAATATCTTACAGCTTTTGTAGCTTTTGTCAGAGCAGGTGGAAGATGCCAACGCTTCGTCTTGCGATTTTATTGACACTGTAAAGCGATATGCGTGATCTGCGATAGGAAATATGGCGATTTGTCTATCCACTTGTCGAATAAAATTTTAAATTTTGCAAAGAGAAATATATCGTTTGCTCGCCGTATAAAAATATCGCCGAACGCGCCGAAATAAAAAAGATATTGCGCTAAAATAAAAATATATCTTATAACACTAAATAATAGTTATATATTCGGCCAAATGTGACTCTTTGTCAGACATTTGGCGGATTACCGATCTACTTTCAGCGAATATTACGCTTCCAGCTTCGAAACTCGCAGTAAAGGAGTTCTGTTTGTTGCTGCACGAATGGAAGTAGAGCTTCTTTTACGCTGAGATCGAGTAGGACGAACGAGCCTGATATCTGGATCTCGAGCATTAAACTCTCTATTCTTTTCTTTTTCTTCTATTACAATTAACACATACTTCTCCATTTGGCGTTTAAGTCAGTGTTCGGAATTAGTTGTATTTTTTAGATGATTTTCGGAGTGTTACATCTACTTTCATCCTTTTGATTTTCCCGCTTACCCGTCAAGCATGCGATTGACGGTCAGCCTGCGTTCAGTCTCAAAACCGTCAACTTCGTAAGACCCTCGGAATTTTCCCTAATTTGGGAAAAGTTCTTATTATGCTTGTTATTTTTATGTAATATTATGTATTTCTTTATCTATCAACATATTTATATTTTATAATTACAACGATAAAGCACTAGTCAATAAAAATTTTTCAAAAATTAGAGAAAGTCCCGCGGGTCTTATGAAGTTTTGGCAGTGTTGAGATTATCCGTTGCAACAGTTAGTTACTCGATGAGTAAGCGGTGAATCAAAGACAAGAAAGTAGATGTAGATCTCGAAAATCGTCTCGAGAATGCAAGCAATTCTGAGCACTGACTCAAGTGATGATAGTCTAACCATTACTTAGACAGGCTTCTGCTCACTCACGCAGGAAGGGAATTTTCTACTTCCTTCTTCCGCGCATAAAATGCGCGGGAAACGGCTGTTTAACGAATCGCGCTTGCATATAGTCGAGGCACGCTGAAATAAAAGCAATTATTTGCAGTCGCTGATCGTGAATCTACGGCAAAACGAGGCTGAGTTCGACAAGATGAGCGACGATTCGTCGGAGCTGATGCAGATCAGCGGCGAGACCAGATTCTCCGCCAGCGTTCAGCAAGTCACATCGCGCTTCCAATCGATTCAGGCAACTGCCAAGGTAAGGACGCAATGTCATACATTCTTACAAAATACAAAGGAGAATAGACTCTAAATTTCTCTGGGATTCTGATAAAGAAGTAATTTATCTATAATTTATCTGCAGGAGCTCGTGAAGAAATGCGAGCAAGCAGTCGTGGATCACGCGAGCTACTTGGAACGTTACAAGCAATGCTCCGAATGGCTAGCGAGTGCGAGAGCGCGTTATCATGCCACTAAAGAGAATGCAAGTGGCACTCGTCAAGAATTGATCACGAACGTTGACACGTTGAAGGAACTTCTGGCACGTCAGTCTTCGTCCACGCTGCTCATAAACAGCACCGTCGAGGCTGGTGAACGACTGTATCCCACGACCGGCATGGAAGGTCGAGAAATCATTCGTCAGCAACTGCTAGACCTGCAACAAACCTTTGAAGGTCTGTATGACGGCGTCGCATCGACTGAACGCGAATTACAGGCGAAGATCTCGCGATGGTCCGGTTTCGACGAGTGTAGCGAGACATTCGAGACTTGGCTGAAAGCTACGGAGTCTCAGTTGAAACCTGAGATCGAGCTAAAGACCACTCTGGATGAGAAGCGCGCCCAACTACAGATCTACCGCACTATTTTACATGATGCTCAAGCGCACCAACAGGATCTGCTGAATCTCCGAGATAAGGCGGACAATCTGCCCGATCGTACCGAGAAGATCGACCAGAAGCTGAAAAGTCTTGCGAGCAGATACAACGCGGTTTTGAAGCGCGCGACTAAGTTCGTAGAGAGGTACGAAGGTATCGTGAGCGACCATCAACAGTATAGCAAGGCCGTCTTGGACACGCACGAATGGCTGGATGCTACGCACAACGCAGTGAACCTCTGGGGTGACGTGGAGTTGGAAAGAGTGTCTCTGCACACGAACCTGGACCGTCTAAAGAATCTGTTGCACAGTCTGCCTGAAGACGAACCGCGCGTACAGCAGATCAGATCCCTCGGCGAGAAGGTAATACCCGGCACTTTGGAGTCAGGACAGGTGAACATACGCTCGCAGATCGACTCCTCGCAACAAGAATGGGAAGGTCTGATTTCCGCTGTCAAGTCCACCATCGAGGCATTGGAGAACAAGCTTCAACAATGGAGCGAGTTCGAGACGTCGAAGGAAAGGTGCCTGGCGTGGATGAGAGACACCGACACAAAACTACATGCCGTCGATCTCAAGGCCACTTTAGCGGAGAAAAAGAATCAGCTGGAGAAACTGCGCGCTCTTCAGGGCGAAGTACGCGCAAAGGAGTTGGAAATCGACGCTGTCGCCGAGCGCGCCCAGCAGCTACACAAGAACGTCACTTCTCGCACTTCTTACATGTCTGAGTTGAGTATCAAGTACCAACAGATCTCCAGCAAAGTCAAAGACCTCAACAACCGTTGGCACCAGTACGTCACCACGCATCAGGAATTTGACAATCAATTGGCTGAGTGCACCACCTGGCTAGAGGACATCAGGAATAAGCTAGCGTACTGCTCCGATTTGAGCGCGTCCTCGCAGAAAGATCTAGAGCAGAAGATGGATATTGTGCAGGACCTGTTGCTGTACAAAGAGGACGGTTTCGCAAAAGTCCAAAGCATCATCGAATTGGCGCAGGCGGTTTTGGCGAATACAGCTCCGGCCGGTCATCAGCCGATTAACGACGCTTTAGCGAAACTTCAGGAACAGTGGAGCGCGTTAGCCTCGAAGATGCTGGAGACCAAGACGAACTTGGATGACTCGATAAACAAGTGGGCCGGCTTGTTGGAGCAGATACAGTCTATTAACAAGACAGTGGAGTACATGCAGACGTCTATCGACGAGATCTCGCAGTTCCAGACGACCATGTCAGAAAAGAGAAGCCAATTGGAGCGAATCAAGGCATTGGAAGAGAAAGTTCGTTGCGAGAACATCGAAGTGGACAGTCTCAAGTGCAAAGTCGGCGAGATGATTGCGAGCGGCCAACAAGGTTTAGCTGCCTCGCAGGCACAGGACATACTCAACAGATTCGATGAGCTCTTCGAGAAAATTAAATCCTTGTTGGCCGAACGGGAAGAACAGTACAAGGATCATCGTCTTTACAAGGAAGCTCACGACGATCTCATCGGTTGGCTCAGCCGTGCTCGCGAGAAGATACCGTCTATGAAGCAGAGATCGCTTAGCGACAAGTTGGCTATTGAGAATGCAGTAGTGCCTCTCGAGAGTTTGCTGAATAAAAAGGCACAGGGTGAATTGCTGGTGGAGCATTTGCAGCATACTGGAAAGGTTGTTTGCGCTAGCACCAGTCCCGCCGGACAAGAAGTCATCAGGAACGAGATACGGGCGCTCACGGAGAGTTTCGAGGGATTATTCAAAGGTAAGAAGGCATTTATCCTAAATATCATTGCGTTAAAAATTTGCAAGTAAAAATTCCTTATTATGTCTCTCTCTTTCTCTCTCTGACAAAACGTTCCTTAATTTGAGAACATAATTAACGTTAATTAACAAACTTGCAATTTTATTTCAGAAATCCAACAGCAGAAAGACCAACTGGAAGCCACCGTGAGTCAATGGCGTGACTACAAGGACGAATATGAGCGACTCAGCGACTGGTTACAACAATTCGACATTCTCATCAAAGCTCAGAAAAATGCCTTACTGCCAAATTTGAAGGAGAAGGAGAAGCAAGTGCAGGAAGTGAAGGAATTGTTGGACAGTCTTACGAAAGGCCAGGAGCAGATCGATAAATTCAACAAGACCGCTGCCAGTCTATTGTCATCTCATCTGGACACTTACGTTAACAACCAACTACGGCATTTGAACTCGCGCTATCAGGTGCAAGTGAATCTTGCGAAGGACGTGTTGAACAAGGTGGAAACTAACTTGGCCCAACACCAAGAATACGAGGACAATCTCGAGAGAGCCCGCGATTGGATCAAGAACGCTAAACAGATCATACGTCAAGGTACGGAGGCGGCCTCGAGCAGCAGTCGCGAGGAACTGCAAAGCAGACTCGACAAAATTCAAGAACTGCTGAGGAAACGTGAAGAAGGACAGAACTTGGTGCATTTAACTGTGAACTGCGGGGAGAAAGTAATGAGGAACACGCGATCAGACGGTCGCGAGGAGATCAATGCCCAACTGAAAGAGATCCAGAACGACTGGGAACGCCTAGTGAAGAAGATCTCGACTACGAAGGTGCACCTCGAGACGAGTCTGTTGCAGTGGGCAGATTATAGTTCATCGTATTCGCAACTGCAACAGTGGATCAACGATCGCGAGGCCAAGTTGCAGCAAGTATGCGAACAGAAAGTGTCCAAAGCTCGCAAAGGTCTAGTCGGATTAAGCTCCTTGGCGATTGGCGAGAGAAAAGCGAACTTGCGACAGACAAACAGCATCGTCCAAGACATCGTGGCCTTCGAGCCCATGATTCAATCGGTTACCACCAAGGCCGAAGACTTGCAGCAAGCGACGCCGGCTACGGAAATTTCAATCAAGTATGAAACTCTAAGCAAGCAAGCTCAAGAATTGTACGCGAAGCAGAAGGAGACAGTCGAGCAGCACCAAGCCTTCATCGACAGCGGCAACGAATTCATTCAGTGGATACGAGCAGCTAAGGAGAGACTCGGAAAATGCTCAGAACCTACGGGAGACAAGGAATCTTTGTCCAGTAAAATTACGCAACTAAAAGTTCTGCAGAGCGAACTGCCGGAAGGTCAAAAGAAGCTGGAGAAAGCTCTGGAGCAAGGTAACGCCGCTTGTCAAATCGCAGATGCTGAGGATAAAGAGATAATTGAGGAAGAAGTAGCGTTATTACAGGAAGAATATGACAATTATGTGTAAGTAATAGTTTAATTTCATCTTCTAATTTTTAATTTCTTTTTGTATCTTATGATCTATACTTTTACTGTATATAATTCTTGATTTAAACAGGGATTCGTTAAATAACACGAAGAGTTTGCTCGAAGTTGGTATAGTGAAGTGGACCGAGTACGAGGACCAGTTCTCCGACGCTACAGAATGGCTTACACAGACTGAACAGTTGGTTCAGACGTTTAACAAATTACAAGACAGTCTGGAAGAAAAGAAGAATGTTCTCGAGCAGTTCCAGGTTCATTTGCAGACATTGTTCGACTGGCAGAAGGAGCTGGACCGCTTGAACATGAAAGCTCAAATGCTGTTAGAAACGTGCGCCGACACAAGAATTTCCAACGCCATAACGCAGCTCACTACCAAATACAACGCACTCTTGTCCCTCGCTAAAGAGATAATGCGGCGATTGGAGTTACATTACCAGGTAATTGTATACTCATTTATGTAAATTATATTAATTTTATTTTTCTGCTAAAATTTCATCTTCTATTTATGACTTTCGATCTTATTTTTCAATTCTTAATTTCTTCTTAATTGCATTTTAAGCAAATTTTATTCGTTCATTTAAAATGTAAAATCGCAGTAAACATATGTTTTATTCTCTAAAATTGTTAATTAGGAACACCAACAACACAACACCTTGTACCAAGAGTGCCAGGATTGGATCGAGCGAACGCGAGACAAATTGAATGAATGCAAGGACATCCCTAGCACATTGACTGAGGTCAACAATAAATTACATACGTGTAAAGCCATTCGGCAGACGCTGGAGCAGGGTCAGAATAAGTTGCGGTACGCTCTCGAATTGAAAGAGAAGGTCATCATGAATACGGAGCAAAACGGCGCGGCGAAAATTCAAGAAGACACCGAGAACTTAAAGAGCGAGTTCGATAAGTTATTGGCTGATGTCGAAGATGTCAGACAGAAGCTATCAGCGAGAGCGAGCACATTGGAAGAACTCAATAAGATTCACCGACTTATCTCAGATTGGTTGGAAGAAGTCGAAGGCAAAGTTCAGCCGGGAGACACTTGCCGAAACGATCTCAGTGAGAAACGCGCCCTCTTGGAAAAGTATAAGATTCTGCAAAGAGATATTCATGGTCACGGTGAGACGGTGGATCGCTTAAAGACTCGTCTCAACGAAAACCCCAGTATATCAAAAAGTCCTTACGAATCGACTATTAACAAGTACGACGCCTTGAAGAAGCTTATTTTTGAAAAAATTCGCGTAAGTAGAAATTTCGTAAATTAACTTGTGATTTATCGTATATACGCGTATATCGTAATTTTAGAATTTTTATAATTCTCTTATATAAAAATTTTTGTAATTTTCTTATATTCCCCGCATTAATCCCATATTAATTTCTGTAAATTTTTTATAGAACTTGGAGGATCAAGTGAAAGACCACGAAAGATTCCAGCAAGCTTTGAACGAGGCGGCCGACTGGGTGCGTCGCACGAAAGTCGAACTTCAACAATACAGCGATACTCACGGCGAGAAAGAACGCATCATCGAGCGGGAGAACAAAGTCAACCAAATTATCTCGTCCTTACCAAAGGGCGACACTCTGATTTCGAAAGTGATCGAGCTGAGCGACGTCGTGATCGCCAAAACAGGCCCCGAGGGTCAAGACTCCATCAAACAGGACATGAAACAGATACAAGCTGATTGGAAGTCCTTGCAGGCTCAATGTCAGGACTCTCAACGTATTCTCGGCAATTGCATCTCGAGTTGGTCGCAGTTTACGAACGCTTTGGATGGCATGAAGCAATGGATAGACCACTTCCAGAAGAAAATTACTGACGAGCAGACCAAAGAAAACAAAACACCAGAGGACTTGGAACGCTGCAAGCGTTTAGTGGAAGAGGCGATTAAGCAGAAGCCAGTGTTGGAAGACCTGAACGATAAGTGCGAAGCGTTGCTGGAGATCAGCGCTTGCAGCTGGGCGCGGGACAAAACGGTACAGTTGCAGTCGGCGTACACGTCGCTTTTAACTGATGCGCAAGGACTTGTCTCGAAAGTTGAGAAGAATCTGTCGGATCACACCGAGTTCCTCAAGGCCAAGAAGGAATTGGAGGATTGGCTACGCACAGCTCACGGTTCGGTGGAGGATTGTATCGGCGTGGGAGACGCAGTTTGGGCAAAGGATAAGTTAGAAACCTTGAGGGTGAGTTCGGATTAATATAATTCCTCCTATTTTTTAAACTCTGAATTTATTATTTAAATGAATTAATTTAATTTAAATTAATCAATTCAGTTTTTAATTTAATTTAAACGAATTACAATATACAGCTGGTCGCGACGCGCGTGACTGAAGGCCAACATCTGCTGTCGACGCTGCAGAACGCCTTCGCGAAGGCAATCAACATGGCTCTGCCGGAACAACAGGATCAGCTGCGATCGGACATGGCTAATCTGCGTTCCAGCTGGGAACAGCTGAGCATAGACCTCAATACTGTTCAAGCCAAAGTGAAATCTGTTTTGAGTCGCTGGGAGGATCATGCAGAGGCATATGGTAAATTCGCCAAGTGGCTAGAAGAAAACGAGAGCGTGATGAAAAGCTCTCCAGACACGAAAGGCGAATTCGGCGAGATGAAAACGATGCTCGAGCGATACAAGCACATCCAGGAAGAGATGCGAGACAGGAAATCCGATCTGGACCATCTGATTGCGGAGGCGACGGAACTGTCAGCGTGGGCGAAAAACAATGCGACGTTGAACGAGACGAAGCAGCTGCTAGTTCGATGGCAGAAGTTAGGTGATCTTGTTGGTGAGAGGAAGAAGCACGTCGAGAACGAAATACAGGAGTACAATGCATATCATGCCGCACTGCAGGAGACGGAAAAGTGGTTGCTGCAGATTTCCTTCCAATTGATGGCTCACAACTCTCTTTACATTACTAACAAAGAGCAAACGCTCGAACAGATCAAACAGCATGAAGCGCTTCTGGCCGAGATCCAGAAATACCAGGAGGTATTGGACGAATTAAAAGCGAAAGGTCACGGTCAAATAGATCGATACGTCAGTGTGAATCCCGCTATTAGATCAACTATAGAAACGCAGTTGCAGAACGTACAGGATAGTTACAATTCACTGTTGAAAACTGCTTTGCAGATCAAGAACCGTTTGGCCGAATCCTTGGCCAAGTTTCAGGAATACGAGAATACTTTGGAGAGCATCATGATGAATCTGGATACGTACGAAACGGAAATGAGTCAGAGTTTAGATGCGCCTCTGGATAATTTGACCTCGGCCGAACAAAGCCTCGAGAACGCCCGCATTCTGCACAACAAGCTGCAAGGCGAAAAAGCTCGTCTGGCTCTGGCGGTGGAAGCTTGCGAAGCTGCGGCAGCATGTGTCTCCAGACCTGGAAGTCCTCTCGACGCACCACCCATTCAAGTTCCCGTGAGAGAGGTTGAAGTTAGAACGAGACTCGACGATCTCATCGATCAGGTATGTAATTAATTTGCTAGTATGTGGAAAATTGTTCTATCCAACATAAATTTATGTAATATTACTTAATATAATAATATTTAATTTTTTATAAGAATGTTTTATTTAACATATAATATTTACTACTATAAAATATATTAATATTTAATGTGTAAAAATAGAAAGAACTAGAAGTAAAGATAAACATTACATATATTATATACATTACATACATTTTTTTGGAATACTTGCTTACAAATTTTTCACATTAATTGTTCTTATACATATTTTACTTGTCGTCAGATGCAAACGCACTTGGCGAACGTGATGAAGTCGGTGGGCGAACTGGAGGAACAATTACGACAAAAGAATGCTCTTCGTGCTTGGATTAATCAGCAACGGGCACTCTGCGCCGAATGGAAGTCACGACCGGCAAAATTGCGATCAGAAGCCGCCCAGGCCGAATTGCAAGCGATGAACGAGCTGCTGACCAACGTGGGCGAACGTCGCACTCGCGCACTCACGGAGTTATCGATACACGAGGAAGATCACGATATCGAGGAGGGATTGAACAAGTTGGAAGCCGAGCTTACCGACGCGATCTCCGGCAAACAAGCGGCGCAGGATCTCATTCAGAAGTATAGATCGCAAGTACAAGATATGCAGAGTTGGTTTGACAGCTTATCGAAGAAGGTCGACGTGATCGAGAAAGGTAGCGGATTGACTATCGGCCAAAAGATTTCGAATCTCAAGGATATCACAGCTGAGTACGAATCTCAGGGTCCGGAGAAACTAGCCGAAATCAAGAAACTGGGCGACCAAGTGATGGACTCGGTCAGTAACTTGGATTCCCAGCAGATCGAGGAGCAGATCAAGTCGGTAGAGAGACGGTACGCGGACATCGGTAAGAAACTGCAGAGGAAAGCGCAAGTTTTGGATATGACGGCGCAGGGCATCGAAGCGACCAGGCGAGAGATCGAGGAGAATCGCGAATGGATCGAACAGAAGAAGCAACAGGTGAAAATGCCGGAGCTGCTTGGTTATGAAAGCAAACAGGCGGAGGAGAGACTCCTTACTCTTAAGGTAATTTCTCGCGATATATTTTGTTCGGCAAATGTTTGAAAACGGTAATTGAAAGTATTTTGCTTCGATTGATAATTTGTTTTACCAGGCTATGCTGAAGGAAGCTGACGCCAAGCAATTGATCATAGACACATTAGAAAAGAGAGTCGGCAATATGCAGAATGAGCTGGAAACCAGCGAACAACAACAGCTGGAAGCTGACACAAAGGCTTTGCGCAGTGAACAGGTCGAGTTGTGCAGTCTTCTAAGAGAAGAGATCTCCACCGCGAGTGCGGCGGCTGACGCGCGTCGCAAGTTGGAGGCTGATATCGAGCGAGCTCGAAACTGGATCAAGACTAAAGGTAACGATTTAAAGAAGCTCAGCGGATACTTGCCGCTGAAAGCCTCGAAAGTCGAGCAAGACATCGCACAACACAGTGGATTGGAGGCGGAGATCGACTCCTTCAACGAGAGTAACCTTAAGGATATACTTAAGCAAGGAAACAATTTGCTGAAAGAATGTAACGCGGAAGGTCGCGCCAAACTGCAAGCTATCCTGGATGACTTAAGTAGAGACTACGAAGAGTTGAAGAATGAGGCCAAGGAGAAACAAGCCTCGTTGGCGGATCTTCTTCAGGGACGCAAAGCCTTCGAGAGCGAGTTAGACAAATGTCAGCGATGGATCAAAGAAGCTGAAGTGGCCACCTCTTCCGAATTGAGACCTTCTAGTCTCGACATCCTTCGTGAACAACTGGCAAAAGTATGTTTATAATTGATCACTTCTCCTTTGTATCTTTAACGTTTGAAGAAAATATAAAGCGTTTCTCTCTTTGTATTTGTTTACAGTATGATCGGCTGAAGAAGGAGGCGCAGGAGTACGGCGATGATATAGAAAAAATAAACCAACAAGGTAAATCGATCTTGCCGACCGTGAGCGACGCGGACAAGCAAGAACTGAGCGAGCAATTGAGGAACATGAAGGAAGCTCACGGACGCGTGGCCGGTGTGATAAACGAAAGAGCGCTCGCGCTCCAGAAGAACATAGACGAAGCTGAAGAAGCTGCCGCTCGAGTAGCAGAGGCGATTCAGTTTATGTCGGATATTCAGAAGGAGCTTCAGGATCTGAACAAGCCAATCGGTGCTCGCGTGGAAGATGTGGAAGGAATGCTGGCGGCTTACGAAAGGATCCTCGACGATCTCAAAACCAACAAAGCAAAACTATCCGATCTTCAATCCGCCAATGTGGGTGATCTTCACGGTGTGTTAGCTCAACAGGACGATCTGATAAGAGCTCTCGAAGCGCAGATAGCGAAACTTCGCCAATTGCTGCTACTGCGACAACAGTTTATCGCACTGATCGCGGAGATCACCACATTCATCGCTAAATATACCGAAATTGTCAGAGATATCGAGAAGTCCGGGCAAACAACCGAAGACAAGATCAAAAGGTATTGACATTTTTTTTAAGATAAATGATTATGCGATATATATCTTCCTGAAATTTATTAAAAAAAAAAAAAAAATA